GGTTTTTCCCCCCCCCCCCCAAAGAAAACCTCCTTTCTTTTTTTTGTTTACCTTCCAGGCGGATGTGAAGATTCCCGGTGTGCCGCTCAAGCTGGTCATGGAGGCCATCCAGCAGGCCACAGGTACCACCGTCATTTCAACGTCCCAACACCAAGAAATCATCACCTCAATGACATTTTTCCTTCTGGCTTGATGTGGCGAAAATGACTTTTTAGTCGCAAAGCGTGAGATCTTGGGCATCATGAACACCACTCTGGCAAAACCCAGGACGAGCAGGAAGGAGAACGGGCCGGTTGTGGGTAAGTTTGGCATGGAATTTAATTTATTTGAGCAATGATTAATTAATTGTTGCGTTTTGGTTTGTTTTTCCAGAGAACGTGCGTGTGCCCGTGTCGAGACGGGCTCGCTTCGTGGGCCCGGGGGGATACAACCTCCGCCGGTTACAAGCTAAGACGGGTAACGCTGGTCGTTTTCTTCGCCGCTGTGCAAAGCCTCCGACGGGAAAATGATGCTGAAACTTCAGGAAGTTGCATTTGCTGTCTTTTCAAGGCGTGACCATCAGTCAGGTGGACGAGGAGACCTTCTCCGTTTTTGCTCCCACGCCGGGAGCGCTGAACGAGGCGCAGGACTTCATCAGTGAGGTCTGCAGAGATGATGTGAGTGACTCATAGTTTTGTATTTACTCTCCATATGGCTGACCCTGAATTTGTACGCAATTCGTAAGGCGCCGCTGTCCATCAATAACCTTTGATGACATCACAATCCAACAAAATCGGGGGGAAAAGGGCTCACTCGTAAACGTATGGTTTTATCCACACCGGCCCCGTTGGTTCCACTTTTAATGGCCCGGGATGCGTTTCCCATGCAGGTGTGAATATACACAAACAAATTCGCTGAGACTGTTCCAAAATTTCGGGGGGGAAAATGGCCTTACCAAACGTGCATTGAGTGAGCTGCTCTTGACACTCAAAATAAATTTGCAGCTTTAATAACAGCGCAAATTACTTGTTGGTCCAGACCAAAAGCGGACCAAAGGATTTTTCTGGTGTGAATATACCCTAAGTGTGTTTATTGTCCTTTATTTTGCAGCAAGAGCAGCAGCTGGAGTTTGGCGCCATTTACACTGCCACCATCACTGAAATAAGGTCAGCTGGAAAATACAAAATGCAGGAAATACAGAGACTTCATACTTGTTTTGTGTTTTAAATGGAGAATGTTTATTTTTTATGATTTTTTTGTGCCGCAGGGACATTGGCGTCATGGTGAAGCTCTATCCCAACATGAGCGCCGTCCTGCTGCACAACTCCCAGTTGGACCACAAACGAGTGCGTGCATGTCTGAGTGAGACTGAGTGTGTGTGTGCGCATGTGTGGCCTCAGTTTGACGGTGTTTGTGTGTGTCCGAGAGAGAGGGTGCGAAAGAAAGTTTGTGTGTCTGCTAGTGAATTTGAGAGGCCGATTGTGTGTGAGGGAGGTGCAAAAGTGCGTGTGGAAAAAGAGCGCGTGAGAGTCAAGCCACGATTAAGATGTTTCTCCCGTTGTTCCTCCGAATTAGATCAAACATCCAAGTGCTTTGGGGTTAGAAGTGGGCCAGCAGATTCAGGTTTGTGTTCACCCAGGGCTGGATTTTCACGCCATGCTGTCGCAATTTTCACAAAATGGAACTACTTCTTCCGCCAGGTGAAGTATTTCGGACGGGACCCCACGGACGGCAGGATGCGCCTCTCTCGCAAAGTGCTGCAGTCACCAGCCGCATCCGTGGTCAAGACGCTGAGCGAGAAGCAGAGCATCTCCATGGCGACGGCCGCAAACAGCGCAGGCAACGTCGAACCGTGAACAAGGCGAAACACGCCAAGAGAAAACACAATCGCTGGATGTGACACTTGGATGCACCACCGTGGAAAGTTGGACACGTGCTCTCTTTGCTGTGGCAAAGAAGGAACGTGATGAAGAAAACAACAGTGGTGTAAAACATCACTACTCTATTGTAATATGACAAGTAAAATGTGTCTCAATCGCAATATATGTGAGGGAGGTCTTTGTAAATAAAGTTTTAGAATGGCTCTGTACAGTGAACATGTCAAACAGTAATTATCGGGCTCACTCTCAAGAAGCTAAATCTAAATAAATCTGGATGGCAATGCCATTCATTCCTTCAGCTTTCCCCAAAAGTGACTCATATTGCAACATCTTTTGCGTCACATTAGCAGAAGTACATTTCTTTGTCTGCCTCGCCATGGCCAAGGCTGGCACACATACGCATATTTTTAAATGTTTATATTTAGGGTTATAATAGTTTGAGATTTTTCATTGTAGTTTTAAAATTGTTTTGACTTTTTTAAAAATCTGTTAATTTTAATTGTTTTGAGAGCAAGTTTGTGAATTTGTATTTTTTAAAGGTTTTGTTTTTGGTTAGTTGGTTAGTTTTAGTAATAGCTTTAGGTTTTTATTAATTTGTGGAGTATTTATCAGGTGCAAGATTTTTTAAAAAGTCACAAAGTACGGTGTAATGAAGTAATGTAAACTACAATTCTCAAACTACAATGAAATATTAATTGACAAAGATGAAAACAAATGACATTTTCGCTCTAATAGTATCAGTGATCTCTGTAGTTTCAGTTAGTATTTGGAAAAGCATTTTTGTTTTTATTTCATTAACGAAAAGGGTTTTCAATTTCTATTTTAGTTATCACGTCAGTTAGTTTTAACAATGATAACGTTGTTTATATTTGAATTGTAATTTCGCTGTTTGTATAAAGCGGAATATTATAAAGTGCAATTTTTCCTCATGAAAAAAAAGTGTTTTTAAGGGTGGGGGTCATTGAGGGCATTTCGATTCATTTCAATAAGGAAAGTAATTATAAATGTGATGCTTTAAAAGTTTGTAATATTCTATTCGCCACTTTATTGCGTAAGTGTAAAAAAAAAATACCATAAATATCATGTGGTGTTGGTGGACTTCGTTCCTTCAGCAGCCTGTAGTAGTTGTGTGACTGACGTCAAGCGAAAAAAAAAAAACTCACTAGATCGGATTACAAGATGGCGCCCCGTGGACGTTAGCGAGGAAGGAGGCCGCCGGAGTTGTGTTGTGTTTCCCCTCTCCACCTCCATCTCTCCTCCTTCGAACGAGGGGGGGTTTACCTTTCAACTTGTGAGCCGTCGCCGTGAGCATGCCGATTAAGTAGCGGTCGCCGCCGCCGATACTTTTCGTGCCCCCAAGCTTAGCTCGTCCGTGCTGTCTAACATGCGGGCGTCAACAAAGTTGTCAGGCTAGGGCGGAAAACACCGAGGCGCCTCGCTTCGCTTGTTAGCATCCAGCTAGCCTAGCCTGCTAGCTCCCCCCCTTCCCTGTTCACAATGTCGGACACTCGGCGGCGGGTGAAAGTTTATACGCTCAACGAAGACCGCCAGTGGGACGACCGGGGCACCGGGCACGTTTCGTCGACGTTTGTGGAACGACTCAAGGGAATATCTTTACTAGTTCGGGCTGAATCCGACGGTGAGTTCCCCACCACACCACCACCGTCTGGTGGTAGTAGCATAGCCACGCTAGCATTCGACGTGATCAGAGTAGCGTGGGGGTCCTCGAGTCACCTTTTTCTAATATTAATATTTTTTTAAATTTATTATTTTCGCACGCCGTTTCATACAATTACGTATATTTAATCTGGTTTATATTGAAACAGGCTAGTGGTGACTAACACGTCCACTCGCCTTTTGTCCTATGCTAAGTATCATTTGTGTTCTCTCTCTCAGATGCAAAAGTGGCTCAACTACCGTCAAACTGCCGTAGCTGTGTTTTTAAACACAAGTCACACTGGTAACATTGTTCTGTGCATCTTATTTTAGGGTCACTGCTGTTGGAGTCGAAGATTAGCCCCAATACTGCCTATCAGAAACAACAGGTAAGAGTAGTTGTAGCTTGGCCGTGCCACAAAGGCAGTAAAAAAAAAGCACATTTGTTGTGTTTTATGTCTGCGTTAATCTATTATTAACCGCATTTGGCTGTGCTCAACTCTGTATTGCAAGTCAAGGTTGAGCCGCAAGCAATTCATTACTAATTACAGTAAACTCACTTAGGTAAGAGAGCAAGACCTGTCGAGTATAGTTTGATGCCTCCCAGTAACAATATTTATGATCGACTGTAGGAATAATTCAAAGCCTAAATATACTCCCAGCTATGACATCAAATCAACCCCCAAAATAAACGATTAAACTAAATTGTTAATTCCTAAACTTTGGTACCACTGATATGGCCTGTTACTTCTGAAACACTATTTAAAAAAAGACATCTTGTGATCTTTATTAGCGCAAGGCTAATTTAATCTGAGAACTGTGCTTTTCTTGTCATCTAATTAAACGCTTTCCTCCATATTTGTGCAGGACACACTGATCGTCTGGTCCGAGGCGGATAATTATGACCTGGCTTTGAGTTTCCAGGAGAAGGCGGGCTGCGATGAGATCTGGGAAAAGATTTGTCAGGTAAACTGGAGTCGGGTGGGAATATTGTTTGGGATTAAAGAAAAGTCATATTTCATTCGGTTTGGTCACTCCGCTGTTGGTGTCTTCAGCTCTGAATGCGGCAGTTGTTTTGCTCCGCAGTAGGATTGTAGCAAATAGTCCAATTGAAATCGACATTGCAACGTAGTAGAATGCAATTTTCAAATCGCAAAGGCAGCTGTTTTTGCTGCTTCGTTTCACTTTGTTGGTCAACAGGCTTGAGTCCTTTACGCATATAGAAATGTAATTTCTATAGTGTCTTGGTAAATTGAGTGCTTAAGGTCGACGTGTTGACATCTGTGTTTCATGAACCATGAAAAGTTGACGTTATCAAGCCACAGATTTGTTTGCATTTTTGTTGGAATCGGATTTATGTTGACATCACACTTGCCCGGTAGAATTTTGTGAAGTTGTGGGCACGAATGCATAAAAAAAGACTGCAAGTCAACGTGTTTAGTGTGCTCTAATTGAAATAGACAAAAGAACCAGTCGTTCATCCTGGTTCCTTTGCCTTTATTCAGGTATGAGCATAAACTATTTGACCAAAACATTTACGTGTCACATACCCGGTCGTTTACCAACACCAGATTCATTTATTCCTTGTAGCATAAACTATTTGACCAAAACATTTACGTGTCACACACCCGGTCGTTTACCAAAATGCAGATTAATTTATTCCTTGTTTTTGTTTCAAAATCCATCCATCCTCATGTAGGTGCAAGGGAAAGACCCTGCCCTGGACATTACCCAAGACCCCATCGACGAGTCGGAGGAGGAGCGCTTTGAGGAGATCCCCGAGACGAGCCACCTGGTGGAGCTGCCGCCCTGCGAGCTCAGCCACCTGGAGGAGATCGCCGACCTGGTGACGTCGGTGCTGTCGTCGCCCATTCGGCGGGAAAAACTGGCCTTGGCCCTCATGGGCGAGGACTACCTCAAGAAACTGCTGGGCCTCTTCCGAGTGTGCGAGGACCTGGACAACCGGGAGGGCCTGCACCACCTGTACGAGATCGTCCGCGGCGTCCTCTTCCTCAACAAGGCCGCCCTCTTCGAGGTGATGTTCTCCGATGACTGCATCATGGACGTGGTGGGCTGCCTGGAGTACGACCCGGCGCTGGTCCAGCCCAAGCGCCACCGCGAGTTCTTGACCAAGACGGCCAAGTTCAAGGAGGTGATCCCCATCACGGACTCTGAGCTGAGGCAGAAGATCCACCAGACGTACCGCGTGCAGTACATCCAGGACATCATCCTGCCCACGCCGTCCGTCTTCGAGGAGAACTTCCTCTCCACGCTCAACTCCTTCATTTTCTTCAACAAGGTGGAGATTGTCAGTATGTTGCAGGTACGAACCAGTTATTTCATAAATACCTATGTCGGCAGACGTGATACTCCGGTGGACCAGATTGTTGGGTACCCCCTCCGCGAATGAACGAAAGCCCACAGTGGTCACAGAAATAACTTGAATGTGATGAGTCAATAAAAATGTCATGAATTTTAGCCAGTCAAAGTCAGATGTTGCTTTTGAATTGTCGTTCACAACTGAATTATTTAAAAAAAAAAAAAACTCATGAAACAAGCATTGGCAAAAAAGTACCCGAACTTAACATTTTGTTACACAGCCCTTTGGGAGCGGTGACTGCAAACAAATGACGTTTCTCCTCCTTCGACAAGACTTAAATAGAATTTAGCAGTTTAGATTCGGTCTGTCATAGAACACCACTTTGGAATATTCCATTGTTTTTACATTTGTAATTCTAAAATATTGTCATGCTTTTTTTTTTTTTTTTCCTTTTGTTTTAAAGAAACTTTTTTGCCTTGATTCCCCCCTGCTGAAAATGACATGCTAACATAGATAATAGCAAGATTACTTGTTGGGACCATCATGAACTGACTGAGGACCCACCGTATTGACTTTTTGTCCCAAAAAACTGCCTCACCTTTCACGCCCAGTAAAGCGCAGAAAACAATGTGAAGTAATCATCTAATGAAAATAATGTATTTCCCATTTGTTGTATGAATTAAATCTGGAAAATTGGTACATTTTAAGGATCATTTGATACACTCTGTGGAAGTACTTTTATTTTTTTGCACTGTAGCTTTTGAACAGTGCCTGTTGGAAATTGGGGAACCCGATTACGGCGCTAACGACATGTGAGGTTATGCGCCATCATGTATAGCCGTGCAAAATACATTCCCATTCCCGCTTTTTCTGCTGCCAAACCAGGATGCAGCGACTTCAATGTATTGTAAGATGGGGAGGCCTTAACGGCGTTTTCTTTTCTGCTCGCCGCAGGAGGACGAGAAGTTCCTCACTGAAGTTTTTGCACAGCTCACGGACGAAGGCACAGACGAGAGCAAAAGGCGAGAACTTGTGAGTCCAACAAAATTGTTTTTATTCATTCGATGTGACTCAGTTAGGTCGTATTCTCATTAACGTCATGCCGTTTCTGTCGATTTCTGTTTTTTTTTCTTCCTTTTTTTCAATTCATCGTACTTTGGCTAACAATCAGCAGTTCAGCAGAAAGTAAACAATCCTTATTTCCACTCTGTTACTGTCAAACTAAACATCAAACAAAAAGTCAAACATTGTATATTTAACCAAACCACATAACTGTCTCATGAGAGTGGGCTGGCTTCATGCTAACACGGAATGAGGAAAGCATCGGTGGTGCGACGCGGCTGTGATAAAATTCCCAAGCGCAAAGGTCACTTCTTCAATTTCTCCTCAGGTGAACTTCGTCAAGGAGTTCTGCGCTTTCTCGCAGACGTTGCAGCCCCAAAACAGGGATGCTTTCTTCAAGACGCTGGCCAATCTCGGCATCTTGCCCGCGCTGGAAATAGTCATGGTGAGCAAGGTCCGGTGCTGATGGGAGGAGAGTGTGCAAATGGATGCTGATATATCCCCCGCCCCCACCTTTCCACCCGCCCATTTTCTTTTCCCGCCTCAGGGAATGGACGACCTGCAGGTGAGGGCGGCAGCTACGGATATCTTCTCCTACCTGGTGGAATTCAGCCCCTCGATGGTCCGGGAGTTTGTCATGCAGGAACTACAACAGACCGACGACGTAAGCTTCTGACAACAAACAGTTTGTAAAAATTGAGAAATGCATCTCAGAGCATTAGAAATCATCTCAACCTAGTTCCTTGTCACTCACGTGCTACTTTCCTATGAGCAATGCGCTTCGGTGTTAACTTTTGTGGCATTTTTGCGGGTGTTTTTCAGTCAAGAATGGACTCCTGAAATGAAATACATCTTATACTCGATTCTAATTAAAGATGCACTTTTGTTTTTTGAATATGCAAATGCCAGTCTTCTGACTTAGTGTGTGTGTTGTTGGCAGGACGTTCTGCTCATCAACGTGGTGATCAAGCAGATGATCTGCGACTCGGACCCCGAGTTGGGCGGCGCCGTCCAGCTGATGGGTCTGCTCAGGACGCTCATCGACCCCGAGAACATGCTGGCCTCCACCAATGTAAGCGCAGCTTGCAGATTTTTAAACATTTCAAGTGATTTTTTGTGACCCGTTTCTGAGTCTTATGTGCGTTAACCCCGTTCAAGTCAAAAGGTCTGTTTACCTTTTCGCACAGAAAACGGAGAAGACCGAGTTCCTGAGTTTCTTCTACAAGTACTGCATGCAAGTTTTAACGGCACCTCTGCTGGCCAACACAGCACATGACAAAAACTCAAAAGGTGAGCTGGCGACGGGCGTCTGAGAGTCTTCAGAACACGTATGACAAAAGGAGGTTCTGACTCGCTGTTCTCTTCAAAGATTTACAAGAGGCATCGACCAAGATCAACCCCGTGTGTCCAGGTGAGAATTGTTCGAATAAAATTACATTTTGGACTTGGCGTTTTAGTTTGACTTGCTAAAGGCGGACAGGCAGGTTGTGGCCCGCAGGCTCGACTTTGCCCAGATGTGCTGTCAATTTTTTAGTTCATCCATGAGGTCGGTGGGTGGGGGAAAAAAATGAGCACCAAGCCGCCAACCGCCTCTGGTGCTGATCTGAGACCCACACCAAAACAGTTTTTGTGCGCCCCTGGATGTGGTTCTTGCCGTTGTCCTTATTGGGGTTGCGGGTTAACCGGAGTTGATTCAAATTGACTAGTCGCCATCAGATCGCATATAGACCAGGATTGTAGTACTTTGGGATCTTTCATGATAGTTTAAATTTAATATTGACTTCAAAAAATCAGTTTTTAGAGCAAGTGTTAGTTTATTTTTTCAAAAATGTTTTGTTTTTAATATGCAGTATTTGTCAAGTTAAAAAAATGTCAATAAGTATTGTGCAAAGTAAATTGCAATATTGTTCAGGTCTACTGATCAGTGCCAACATTAGCATCTATCAACTGGATGATTTGTTATACTTCTCCCTTTTTTTTTTGAATGCGAAGGTACAGGCGAGGCCTCCGTTTTTGAGGAAGTTTTAACGACTGTGTGACTTCTGTTGGCTACGGATATCTTCTCCTACCTGGTGGAATTCAGCCCCTCGATGGTCCGGGAGTTTGTCATGCAGGAACTACAACAGACCGACGACGTAAGCTTCTGACAACAAACAGTTTGTAAAAATTGAGAAATGCATCTCAGAGCATTAGAAATCATCTCAACCTAGTTCCTTGTCACTCACGTGCTACTTTCCTATGAGCAATGCGCTTCGGTGTTAACTTTTGTGGCATTTTTGCGGGTGTTTTTCAGTCAAGAATGGACTCCTGAAATGAAATACATCTTATACTCGATTCTAATTAAAGATGCACTTTTGTTTTTTGAATATGCAAATGCCAGTCTTCTGACTTAGTGTGTGTGTTGTTGGCAGGACGTTCTGCTCATCAACGTGGTGATCAAGCAGATGATCTGCGACTCGGACCCCGAGTTGGGCGGCGCCGTCCAGCTGATGGGTCTGCTCAGGACGCTCATCGACCCCGAGAACATGCTGGCCTCCACCAATGTAAGCGCAGCTTGCAGATTTTTAAACATTTCAAGTGATTTTTTGTGACCCGTTTGTGAGTCTTATGTGCGTTAACCCCGTTCAAGTCAAAAGGTCTGTTTACCTTTTCGCACAGAAAACGGAGAAGACCGAGTTCCTGAGTTTCTTCTACAAGTACTGCATGCAAGTTTTAACGGCACCTCTGCTGGCCAACACAGCACATGACAAAAACTCAAAAGGTGAGCTGGCGACGGGCGTCTGAGAGTCTTCAGAACACGTATGACAAAAGGAGGTTCTGACTCGCTGTTCTCTTCAAAGATTTACAAGAGGCATCGACCAAGATCAACCCCGTGTGTCCAGGTGAGAATTGTTCGAATAAAATTACATTTTGGACTTGGCGTTTTAGTTTGACTTGCTAAAGGCGGACAGGCAGGTTGTGGCCCGCAGGCTCGACTTTGCCCAGATGTGCTGTCAATTTTTTAGTTCATCCATGAGGTCGGTGGGTGGGGGAAAAAAATGAGCACCAAGCCGCCAACCGCCTCTGGTGCTGATCTGAGACCCACACCAAAACAGTTTTTGTGCGCCCCTGGATGTGGTTCTTGCCGTTGTCCTTATTGGGGTTGCGGGTTAACCGGAGTTGATTCAAATTGACTAGTCGCCATCAGATCGCATATAGACCAGGATTGTAGTACTTTGGGATCTTTCATGATAGTTTAAATTTAATATTGACTTCAAAAAATCAGTTTTTAGAGCAAGTGTTAGTTTATTTTTTCAAAAATGTTTTGTTTTTAATATGCAGTATTTGTCAAGTTAAAAAAATGTCAATAAGTATTGTGCAAAGTAAATTGCAATATTGTTCAGGTCTACTGATCAGTGCCAACATTAGCATCTATCAACTGGATGATTTGTTATACTTCTCCCTTTTTTTTTTGAATGCGAAGGTACAGGCGAGGCCTCCGTTTTTGAGGAAGTTTTAACGACTGTGTGACTTCTGTTGGCTTTTTTTTTTTTTTTTTGTCGTCCCCTCCTCCCCCGTAGATAACTTTCAGACGGCCCAACTGCTGGCTCTGATCCTGGAGCTGCTTACCTTCTGCGTGGAGCACCACACATACCACATCAAGACCTACATCATGAACAAAGATCTGCTGCGGAGAGTGCTGGTGCTCATGAACTCCAAGCACACCTTCCTTGCCCTCTGTAAGCACGCGCGCGGGCGCACGCACGCCGGCGAACGGCCCCGCCGCAGGGTCCTCCTACCGACTCGTTTTGGTGTTTTGCGTCCCAAGGCGCGCTGCGTTTCATGCGGCGGATCATCGGGCTGAAGGACGAGTACTACAACCGCTACATCATCAAAGGGAACCTGTTTGAGCCGGTCATCAACGCGCTGCTGGACAACGGCACGCGATACAACCTCCTCAACTCGGCCATCATCGAGCTCTTTGAGTTCATCAAAGTGGTGCGTCGCGCGTGAAATAAGCGCACGCATCAGGAGTGTGCGTCTGACTTGTCGCGTTTTCTGTTGTCAGGAGGACATCAAGTCCCTCATCGCGCACATTGTGGATAACTTCTACAAAGCACTTGAGCCCATCGAGTACGTGCAGACCTTCAAGGGCCTGAAGGGACGATACGAGCAGGAGAAAGACCGACAGAGTCAGAAACTCACCAGGTTGGCACACCAGTCCATTTTGCGGCAAAATGTCTTGTACGTTCAAGAGGAGTTTTGAACTGGGCGCTGTATTGGGTGAAATTTCAGGACGAACCTCAAATGAATGGTTTACCTTGATAGGTGAACTTGATTTGACCTTGAAATTTTCCTGTTCGGTTCGTTTCAAAGCGCCTTTCTCGAAAAATTAAAAACAAGTGTTTGTTTGTTTTTTTTTTTAAAGTATTTAACATAATTGTAGTTTTTCTGTCATTCTTCCTTTTATCTATTTCAACGTGTTGATGGTCCTCTTATCAAAGCTCAAGAGTGAGTTTCAATCCCATTTTATGGGCTATTAGGTTTCCGCGTTCTCGTGGATCCGTAAAAGTCCGAAAAGGCATTGAATCCGTGATTTAGTAAACAAGGCCTTAATTGGCACTTGCCTATCTTCAATCATTCAAACGTCATCATATATATTTTTTTTTCACCTGGTGCATTTTACTATCAAAAATAGTCTCATATCTCAGAGTAAATTAACATTCTTCAAAAAGTCATTTGCGGATTGGCTCTCGTGGTAACGTCGCACGATCAGTATAGCAAAACCAACTAAACAATGATGTGGGGGGTTTTTCTGGTGAGCAAGCCAACCCCAAGTGAACAAAAGAAATGCAAAATCAACTTTTATCCGATTACTCTCTCTATCCTTATTGGTGTAAACCTCATTGAAAATATTACAAGTATGAACTGCAGCCCGAATTTCGATGCACTTTTTCCAGATACCGGCGAGAGGCTCGCTCATTGGACGAGGATGAAGAGCTGTGGTTCAACGAGGACGAAGACGACGACGAGGCGGAGGCGGTGGACAAGAGCCGCATGGAAGACGACTACTCGGACGGCTACGGCAAGTACATGGAGGCCAAAAAAGGTAAGCGCACCATCTGGCTTCTTTGGATCGTAATCATCAGCGCTCGGCAGTACACGTTGAGCTCATGCTGCCCCTTCGTCTTCAGCCGGCGCAGCTCACGGCGCCAACAACGGCAAAGCCGCGGCGCTGCCTCCCACCTCGCCCCCCGCCACACCCAACAACAGTTCCGCATCCTCGGTCAAGACGGTCGCACTTCCTGCCTCGCCGGTAGTCAAGGTAATGAACACGCACTTGAAAAATGATTTGTCGACAGTGCTCGGTCGAGGCAGCGAGTGTGTATTTCCCCAAATTGTATCTCGATTCTCAGATATATTAGCTTGGAACCGTCAAAAGAAATTTGACAATCGTTAGCTTCTTAGCTGCAGCGCAAATTCAAATTGGCACAATATGGACGCCGCTAAAAATTGCACCGTCGTTCTTTGTTGCCATTTAATACAAGATGATGTATTTATAAAGCGTTGTCACCACAGCTGCAGCTGTTAAAAAAAAAAAAAAAAAAACCAACCAAAAAAAATAAAAAAAAAAAAAAAAAAAAGCCCTCCCCAGAACATTTAATATAAAATAACAATAATGTAACTGAACATATAACATAAAACAAGGGACACCAAAAAATATATATATATCGTTAAAGAAAAACTATTTTGAGACATTGCAACAGCCATTTTTTTCTCCGGATAAAAGTACTCGATTCCACCAGTTACAGGATGAAATTCACGTTGCGCCGGGTGTGAGCCAATGTCTTGTCTGTCAGACCCCTCTGGTCGGTTTGGTGGACTATCCCGATGATGAGGACGAAGAGGAGGAAGACGAAGAGGAGGAAGAGGCGCAATCACCCAGGAAGCGTCCGCGTCTCAGTTCTTAACATCGCCGCAAGTCTGGCGCCGTCTCCTTTCCCCTCGCGCTCTTGGCCTGCTCGGAATTTGATGGACCCACCTCCCTTGTCTCTGGACCCACACTAACCATTAACTCTCTCCTCCTCCTCCTCCTCATCAAAGTGCCATGGCCCGCCTTCCCGGTTTCGGCTTTATTGTGATAGGTACAGAAGCCCGAAGGGAAGCGCCTCGCTGATTCACAAAATGGAGGCCGCCGGTGAATGAACTGCGCCACAGGCCAGTC